AAGCAGCTCGGCTGGTCTTTGATTCTAGTTTGGATAGACTCTGCCTTTTCATTGGATTTCTCTTGGCAGCCTTGCCTGTCTGATTGTGACTTTCAGCAGTCTTTACTGTGCACATACTCTTGGGGAGGGAGGGGCCTTGTGAATCTGCTCGGTTTCAGGAACTCCCTGAAGCTGTTTGGAGTTGCTTACTTCCTGTCTCACAGACCTTCCCTGCCAGATGGAATGATTCAACCTGAGAGGAAAGTGCTACACACAACAGTATGAAGTCACATGGCTGATAATCTGCATGCAGTGAAGGCTTTTCAAACCTAACATGCCTATGGATTCTCACGTTAAAAAATTACAATCATTGCTATTATATAAGCAAGGAAAAGGACAGAAGGCCATCTTCACAATAGTGGCTTAAGATCTTCAGAGCACTTTTTATCTTTCCAAAGAAAATGTAAGAGGCTGCCAGTGTTAGGTATTCCCAGAAAAATAGAGCATTTTCCACCTCATTTAGTTACTGAATTGGTTTGATATTTGTGGTAGTTTATATGTCAAAGTGTAACCTTTCATGTTCCTAAAACAAACAAGCAAAAAAAATGAAAGTAGTTTAGAAACTGAAAAGTGATTTTTGAAGCTCAAGGTTGAAAAGGAGACATTTAGTTTGCAGGAAGAAAGATCAAACATGAATATCACATTCAAGGAGACCCAGGATTCAGGCCTCACTCTCTGAAACACTGGACTAGCCCCTTGGTCTCTCGTAATCATAGAGAAGGAGCAGGGAGGTCATTCTGAGAAAAAAGAATGGGAAGCAGCATTCTACTGAAGCAGTCATCCCCTTCTTATAAGGACTGACCATAACAGGACCAGTTGTTCTGTTTTGTTTTTTGATTTTTCTGGGGACCACTTTGTTAAGACCTCTGCTTCATATTACCGCACCATACTATTGACTCATGTCTAGCTTCAATCAGACTCTCTTATACCAGGACTGACCCTAAGAGCCAGCCACTTAGCAGAGAATTTCATGAGTGTTCCTGCCATCTCCCCCTTGGACATGTGGCGTTTGCACTCTGTTCCTCAGACCTATATCCTATCCCTGTAAATGTGGTTATTAGAGTTCTTGGGCAAAGCTGGTAGTCTCCTTGGCTAGCCCTTTAAAGTTGCTCAGAAGGGAGTGTCACCTGCAGCTAGGAGCGTAAGGACCTCATCAGATGACTTTCCCATTCTAATTGCTTCTATATATATATTTTTTTAAGGAAGAAGTTTGTCAAAAATCAGTTTCCAGAAGTCTTTCTGAGGAAGCACAGAACTTAGAGTGCAGCCTGGAACTAAAGAAACTAGTGGACACATTACCACTTATTATGTCCACCCGCCATACCTGGCAGGTAAAGTGCTTGTCTGGTTTGACCTTTAAGGAGCCTCTCCTGACCTCCAAGGAAGGATACACCATAAGGTGGATATTCATCTTTAGGGCTGTGATTCCAAATCTAATTCCCCAAATTTCAAAATTCTCAGGGTCAGTAAATCCATAGAGAAATAATTTCCAGTGAAGTGAAGCTTGTTTTATTTAATAGATTAGAGGAAATTGGGGTAGCACTTGTTATGGCAAGACAGTACGCACAGGGACTTGTGGACAGGATGACATGCTGTGTGGGTCAATGGGTGTCTGTGTGTCTCTGTAATATAGTGATGGGGAAACACGGGGTTGGGCTCAGAAGGATGCAGGAGTTCCCGCTCTGGGACTGATGTGCTGCTGCTGAGCATGTTATTCAATACTTTCACATCTCCCTGACTTGTGGCAACCCCAGTGTCACAGAGGGGTGTCTTAGCATCTTCATTACATCCAGGCCCCAGGGCCAGCATCTTATGAGAGGAAGAATTGATTTTAATGCACATTTCCAGGTTATAGTCCATCTTGGGGAAATCAAGGCAGAAACTCAGTCAGCTAGTCACATCAAATCCATTGTCAAGAGTGGAGAGATGTGAATGCTACCGTGCTGCCCAATGACTCTTCATATGTTCCAGGTTTCTTCACTGTTACAGAGTTCAAGTCCCAGCCAATGAAACAATTCTGTCCATCTCAGTTAACAATCTATAAAACCCACAGCCATGCCCAGAGTCAACCTGATCAAAATGGTTCCTGATTTTGGGTGCCCTCTGTGCAGAGCCTTGGTGAGCCAGGCACTGCGATGGCTCTAAAGACTTTATTTGCAGGAGTAGTCTCCATGAATATCACTGTGGCTGTGCCTCTGATCAAAGATATCATCCACACTTCCAAGGCCATCAGGTAGCTTCTCTCTGACTTGTTTCTAGAGGACCAGTGGTCCTTGTGCTCATGAATGCCTATGATTTGTTAACTGGGCAACATGTGGTGTTCAGAGGGCAGGTTTGCTGTGTTGATCAATGCCTGGATTTTTAGAGAGTCGCTAAAGTCAAAACTGAATATAGTAAAAAATGGAATAGATGTTTCGGTTTTTTCGGGTGGCTACAATAACATGAAAGAGAAAATAATAAAGGAGCTAGCAATATTGAGCAGTAACTGCTTCACAGACATTTCACCCTTGGTGTCATTACTCCATGCCCAAATAGCCCTGAATCGTATTTCTCCTGCTTGGTTGGTGGCCATGCTCTGTATGTATCTAGTGACTTAGGTTTTCAAGAGACATGGAATAGAAGAACTAGAGATATATCAAATTGCTTTAGGGATAATAATCATACCTATTCTTTAAGTCTTGTGAAAAAACTGCATTAAATAAAAAGGTCCATATGTAGGTTTTTATGCTAGTACCAAACTGTTTTTATTACTATAGCTCTATAGTAGAGGTTGAGGTCATGGATGGTGATGCCTCCAGAGGTTGCTTTATTATACAGGATTCTTTTAGCTATCCTGGGTTTTTTGTTTTTTCATATGACGTTGAGTATTGTTCTTTCCAGGTCTATGAAGAATTGTGTTGGGATTTTGATGAGGATTACATTGAATCTGTAGATTGGTTTTGGTAACATTACCATTCTTACTATGTTAATTCTACCTATCCATGAGCATGAGAAATCATTCCATATTCTGGTATCTTTTTCAATTTCTTTCTTCAGAGACTTAAAGTTCTTGTCATACATGTCTTTCACTTGCTTAGAGTTACCCCAAGATATTTTATATTATTTGTGGCTATTGTAAAAGGTGATGTGTCTCTGATTTCTTTCTCGGCCCATTTATCATTTGTATACAGGTAGGCTATATGGGTTTTTTCCTAGTAAATCTTGTATCCTGCTACATTACTGAAGGTGTTTATCAGCTGTAGGAGATCCTTGGTAGAATTTTTGGGGTCAAATATGTATACTAACATGTCATCTGCAAATAGTGAAAGTTTGACTTCTTCCTTTTCAATTTGTATCCCCTTGATCTCTTTTTGTTGTCTTACTGATCTAGTTAGAACTTCAAGTGCTATATTGAATAAATATGGGGAGAGTGGACAGCCTTGAGCAAGGAACATCGAGATCATGATGGGAAAATGTAGAGAAGACCAGGTCAAACTACTGGAAACTAATGAACTGTGGACGAATAGCTGTGGAGCCCCCATGGGACTGGACTAGGCCTTCTGGATAAGTCAGACAGTTGTTTAGGTTGAATTGTTTAGGGGGCCCCTTGGCATTGGGATTGGAATCAGTCCCTGGTGCATGAGTGGGCTTTTTGGATAGAACCCAGGGCCTATAGTGGGATACTTTGCTCAGCCTTGGTATAGGAGGAAGGGCTTGGACCTGCCTCAACTGAATGTACCCAGCTCTGCTGACTACCCAAATGAATAGAAAATTTCTTTTTTTTTTCATGCTGAATTTATTGAAGGAGGAAGGAGGTCTTAAATACAGGCTTACAGCACAATGGGAGAACCCCAGAGGGCAGAAGTTCGCTACTGATGTTTACAATCTTGCATCTAACCTGTTAATGCCCATTATGCAGGATACACAGACAAGTATCCTCCCTTAAGCATTCAGGAGGGTGGAACCAGGCAGGGAATTAGCATCGAGAGGATATCAAGGTCAAGGTCAGCAAGCAAGGCAACAGTTACCCAAAACAGGGGCCAGGGCCCTATAGGTCCCCCTTTTACTAAAAAATGAGCTTCTGGCTTAGGTTTCATGGGACGTCAGCAGGTCACCTTACCCGTCATGGAGACACCTGCTCAGGCCACACAGGCGCTCTCTCTTAGGTTGGTGAGCGCCTCCCAGGCATTACCCGTCTATTCTAAAATGAATAGAAAATTTCTTAATAATAAAAAAACAGGAAAAAATATCTATTCCATGTTGTAGACCAGCAACTGTGAACATCCAGGGGTGTGGAAGCCTACCTGCATCCTCCTGGCTGTGGTCAGATTAGCCCCAAAGGCCTGTGTTGAGAGGATGCTGTCTACTGTTAAGACAGAAGATGATAGAGGGCAGGGGTAGACTGGCAAGAGGCAGAGGGAGGTCACATGCACAGGAGAGGGTTCCCTGTGGAGAAGAATGTCAGCAAATGTTTTTCAGGTCCGGTGAGGATGAGGAAGGGCTCCCTCTGTCAGAAAAATTTTCCTTACAATCTTCTCACTGCTGGAATGGACACCTGGGGTCTCCTAAAACTATTAGCCCCAGTGAGAGCTCTGAAAGTCATTTGTTGCAGGACTCCCTGAGTGAGTTCTAGTAAAGTACTCATAGCTGCGAGTAACACTGATTTAATAAAACAGTGCACTGCACACAGTCTTGGTCCTTTCCTGTGCGCTCACTGTTTCTACTTCTTACATCATTTCTGTTATCACAGCACAGCTCGACAAGGATGGCAGTGGTGATTATGTCTGCCTGGGGGAAGGAATCCCTGTTAATACTAAGAAATTGAGTTTCCTCTCAATGTATTGAGGAATTGGTAGAGTAGTGGCTGTACACTGCCTGCAGCAGAGGCCACACACTATGGTGGAGAGTGTGCCTGTGCAGCCCTCAGATGGGAGAGGGCACATGAGAGTGGAGACTAATGCTTTGTTCTTTCGCCATGGCAGATCTTAGACTACACTGAGGAAGAGTTTCTTCCTGATGACTGCATTATTCTTGTCCAATTCTCCCTGGGAGAGATTCGACTTCTGCAATTGGAGGTGAGTCAGAGAGTAAATTTTTTGAAGAAATGATACTGTGGGTCCTCAGACAGGTGCTGATGGTCATGGATTTTTATAGGTCAACAGCCAGAGAAGCAGAAGAGAGGATGTAGCTGGTCTTTGCTGTGGGTCACCCCATTGAACTGTCACCTCCTTCTGAGTTGGCTCTAATGTAGACAAGACATGGTCCTTATAGATGCACAAGAAACTATTTGAGACTCAGTGTGATCTCAGTTTGTCAGTTTATCATCATGCGGTGTTAGGATATTTGATCTCTTCATCTACCTTCATATCCTGTGGATGGAGAATGGACCAGTTCTGTCTCACTCACCTGTGGCTCCTAAGAATAATGCTTGGCTATTTTGTGATGTTATCAATTGGAAGGTTATCCAGAGCTCTCATACAGATATTGGTGGAGGTAGATAACAGTTGACCGATAACCACATTCCTAGAGGTCAACTGAAGTGGATAGTGATTGCAGACTGATAATTGCCACCTTCCTTGCCTTTTGCTACTTAAGCTTGTCTTAGATGTGAAAAATTGTGAAAACCATTCTCAAGTGCCATAATCTTGTGGTTCCCCAATGACAGTCAAGTCTGTCTTGCTGTGTGCTTATGACTCTGGTGGTAGAACTGACTTAGAAGCCTGGTATACAGCTTGGTAGTGAAGTGATTGCCTTGCATGCACAAGGTCTTTGGTTTTATCTTAGGACCAAGAAAATGGGGAAAAAGGCAGAATCGAATTACATTTGGGGTATAGCACGTATCAATAAACTTTTCATCCCTCTTGGCCTCTGGCCTCCAGACATTCCTGAACTTGCTCCATGGGATCTACTTGTTTCCCTCAGTTGAGAATGAATTTTCAGTGAGACAAAAGGTCATGCTTTTAGTAAACAGTCTATTTATGAATAAAGCACAGATATTAAACATACATAAGTAATACATCAAATACAGCTAGAGAGATGGTGCATAAGAGTATTCACTGCTCTTCCAAAAAGACACAAGTTCTGTTGCAGCACCGAAGTAGGGTATCTCACAACCTCCTGGAACTCCAGTTCCAGGAGATCTAACATCCTTTTCTGATTTTCATATGTAACCCCACACAAGTGACATATACTCATACAGGCAAAGACACATACACAGGAATAAGAATTTAAAATATTTTATTGTATAGAAGTTGGCATAAACATTACTAATAAATTCTTCAAAGGTCACCAGGAAACCAAGGATAAAAGTTGTTGTCACAAAAGTCTGCAGATATCCTGTGCTAACTTCCCCTGGCACCTTGCAGGTGAATGCTGAGACAGTGAGGTACTCCATCTGTACCTCCAGGCTGTCCAGACAACTATCATCAGTGAGATGCAGGACACTATGTTCTGTTATTGAGCATCAACAGGAGGCCTCCTAACCTACAAGGTGCTATGGAGGGGAAGCTCCAGGTTAGCAGAGGTTTTGAAGTTCTCTGACAAAGCTGGGAGCATCTATGGCATGTAAAGCACACTGCCGTGAGCACTGGCCTGGACAGAAAGTAAGGTGTCACCAATAAAAGATCTGAGTATTATAATGTGGCCAGGAGTTCTAGTAATTCCCACTGTGAGAATTGTAACACAGCCAGTTGTTAGATGACACAAGCTGGATGGAACGTGGCTTTTTTCCCCGCGAGTCTTACCCTACAGGAAAACTGGCCTTTACCAAAACCAAGATGTCCATGGTGACCTGGGGTCTTGGTTCCTTAACCCATTGTCTGTAGCTAGAGTTTTACAAATCTCTGACACCCGCCAGTCCCACAGCCATTCAGACCCAACCAAATAAACACAGAGACTTATATTGGTTACAAACTGTATGGCCGTGGCAGGCTTCTTGCTAACTGTTCTTACAGCTTAAATTAATCCATTTCTATTAATCTATACCTTGCCACGTGGCTTGTGGCTTACCGGTACTTTACATCTTTCTTGTCCTGATGGCGGCTGGCAGTGTCTCCCTCCCAGCTTCCTGTTCTCTCAATTCTCCTCTCTGTTAGTCCTGCCTATACTTCCTGCCTGGCCACTGCCAATCAGTGATTTATTTATTGACCAATCAGCAACACATTTGGCATACAGACCATCCCACAGCATTGTCTGTATTACTTTCACAATAGCAGTTTCCAGAGTATGGCTGGGGGTGTAGCTCAGTGGTAGAGCGTTTGCCTAACATGCATGGGGACTGTGTTTGATATCCATCAACACACACACACACACATACACACACACACACACACACACACACACACACACACACACACACGAGTATAGGCAAAAGCTTCTGTGGGTGTTCGATTCCTCACCATACAATAGGGCATCAGCTTTTCCTGACCCTTTCCTGATCAGACTATACTATAGTGAAGGACATTTAGAAACAAGAGGTGTAAGAAAGAGGAAGAACAAGGTCATGGTAAATATCCCTGATATCTGGGCTCACTTCAAGCACCAAAACATAAACTAGACCATGTATGACAGTAGGAACCCTGAGGATAGGTTTCAAGTATTTATTCTTCTGGTCTGGTTTTTTTTTTTTTTTCTAAATGCATATATCATTTTACTGAATCTGCCATACAGATTTTATTTCTATTGCTTGTGTGTGCACATAATTGTGTGGGTGCCCCTCTATGTGTGTTGAGGCCTGAGGTCAACCTCATGAGCCATTGAAAGTTTTTCTGGCCGGCTGGTGGTGGCGGTGCATGCCTTTAATCCTAGCACTCAGGAGGGTAGAGCCAGGTGGATCTGTGAGTTCAAGGCCAGCATGGTCTACAGAGTGAGTTCCAGGATAGGCACCAAAACTCTACACAGAGAAACCCTGTCTCGAAAAACCAAAAAAAAAAAAAAAAAAAAAAAAAAAGGTTTTTGGCATAAATTATGCATAGCATGGGTTTTATTATGATACTTTTATGTAGGTATACAACGTGCTTTGGTCATATCCACATCCTTTTACTCTGTTGTCCACTTTCTGCCTCTACTCAGCCCCTTCCTCTTCCTAATGAGTCCTTCTACTTACATTTCTTTCTTTTTTTATATATAACCCAATGAATCTCATTGGGGCTGCCTACCATATCCGGATCAATGGAGTGTGATTTACAGGAACATGAGCACCTTACCAGTGCTTACACCATTGGAACAATTGTCTGTTCCTGCCCCCATCAACCATTACCTGGCTAAAAATCCTCAGGGAAGAGTAGGGCTTCATCACACTAAGGTGTTGACAGAACTGGTCTTGTGCATGTATAGCACAGGGTTTACATGGCTGGAAGCACCTAATTGTTTCTAGTTTTAGCTCCTTGAGAATAGTAAAGCAGAAGCTCTCTCCCTTTTTCTTTAAACTGAGATCCCTCATTTCTCGTGGCACAGCATCTGTATGTGATCGAAAAGCTCCATGCCTTTGCTGGGCCCACTGCATTGTCTATCAGGCTGACCTGATAACCATCTGCCTTTAGTGGTACCACGAATACCTGCTTGGCTGGTTTCGTTGTCTCTGGTGTTGGGATATCTGCTGCTTTGGTTTGGAACTTCTTGGAGTGGCTTGAGACTCTTCTGACCATCTCCTCTGACACAGGGTAAGGTCCTGGTTATTACCAAGTTTGGCTGGCCAAGATGGAGGGTGTGTTGATGATGTCCTCCTTTGAGAAGATGGCAGACCATCTCTTTGAGGCTGCCTACTGTAGGCAGAAAGACTCCTTTTTTGGTAGGTCTGTAAGTATCAAAGGCTTATTGCTTACAGAATCAATGGATTTTTTTTTTTGTCTCCAGAGCCCAACTAAAGTACCTTGCCATCCACATTTACTTACATATTTGTCTGTGTTTGCTGTTGATCTGCTATGTCGGTCACACTGACTAAATAGTTTTTTTCTGAGATCTCTGTTGTGGGTTTAGATCTACTGAGATGTAGCTGTAACTACAGCACAACGATATGTGATAAAGCATTTAGTAATTATATAAGTAGACAAAATAGATTTGTTAATAAATATTTATCACGCAACATTTGAAACTCACAAATTAAAAAAAATCAAGTGTAAAACCAAATGTGATGACAGTACAATTTCTTCTCAATGAACTGAGGATGTGACAAAAGTCAGTTTCCAAGTGGCACATTTGTTAGCCAAGTCATGAGGGCCATTTACTGAATTCAATCACGTTGGCAGAAACAGGGAAAAAGAACACGATGTTTAAAAGCTATGAGCTTTGAGTGCAAACAGTGGTTTTAGACACTAGAAACAACAGCATGAACGTGTATAGCCAACTGAAATACAAGGAGTATTCCACATGGTTTCCCTTGGCTCCTGATGAGGTGGCCAACACTACTCTTTGAGACTGTTTGAGAAGTCAGTACTGAACGACTGAATAATTAGCTTCTGTGAATAACCTGCAGGAACAGCCACAAATAATATTTTCAAGGAACACGAGAAAACACAAATTTAGTACAAGCTGAGGTGGAATTTGTTAAGTCCCCTCATGGGAGAATACGACGGAAAAGCTTAATTTGATGTCTCTGTTAATTAGAAGGCTCTACCTATCCCTCTGGAGCAGTGGTTCTCAACCTTACTAATGTCGCAACCCTCTATACAGTTCTTTATGTTGTAGTGACTCCCAGTCATAAAATTATTTTTGCTGCTACTTCATAACTATAATTTTGATAGTTATGAATCATAATGTAAATATATCAAATGAGTGAATGTTCTAACAATAGAGACATTTTTCTGATATTCTTAGTGCCGGATCTGAATCTATATACATACATGCGTAGATATACGCATATGTACATACATATACATGTTTGTATATACATGACTCAGCCTGCTGAGTCATTTTTTTGTGTAAATGGTTTTAGAGTGGACTGCTCTACTGTACAACCAATAAGGGACTTCTTTCCTGGGAGAGGCAAATTCTCCTTCTCCCACCAGTCATTTGTTGCCTGCAGTTCCTTGTCTAGGGGTGAACCTCCCAAAATTTTCTCCTTCCATGTTAACATGTCCATTGATCTTACCATTGCCTGGTCTTGTTTATGCATCCAATTCTAAGAGAGACTGTTTCCACTAGACTTCCTGGTTTTCTCACTCTTACCACATTTTTGCTCCCCTCTCCTGCAATGTTCCTTGAATCATAGATGCAGGCACTGTCTAAGTAGACTTAAAGTCCACTCACAAAGTGGGAAATTATACTTGATATTGGAAATCTAGCCAGTTTCCTGAAAACTAGTGAAGTCACAAACCTTAGGAAAATAACCACATTGTCTCCTTACTTGACCAGCATAATCCCCCAACTACATTCTAAATCTTATTCTTATACCAACAGGTAAGTACAGCTACTACCTCCTCCTTAAAGAAGCCTCTTTTTACAGCAAGTAGAGACCCTAAGAGAAAGCAGGACACAGTGAAGGAATCTCAGCCCAGTCCCAACATGCACACCATGCAGGTTTTGCATGCTGTTCTTTTCTTTGAGGCATGAGTTCATGCAATCCAGGATGATCTTGAACAGCTGATTCTCTTTTGTCTCCCCAGTGATGAGATTACAGAACAGGACACGGAATCTAGCTGCAATGCATGTCTTGACAATATTTCACCATCCCAAATAAGACCTTTTGAGTCAAATAGTGAGACCTCATTTACACCACAAACGACTGACAGAGTATGATCTCAACTCTACGTGAGAATCAGATCCAGATGAGGTCACTGTTGAATGGGCTCAGCTCACTGCACCGGTGAAGGGTTAGAGGTAAGTTCTACTGTGAAAGAAAGTCACTCAGTGCATTCTTGTCATGTATTGACTTTTGCTCCTTACATGTTTATGACTGCAGAGTGGTCTCAGTATATCATCTGTAGACATGTTATAAACGTTAAGATGTATTTCATAAATGATAAGCAAAATAGACAAGTTCCAGAACATCAAAAATACTTATCTTGTAATATACTGCTAGTCCTAAATGGTAGAGTAAATAATTATTTGCACTTGGTGCAATAAAAAGATTTAATAATGGTATCATTTGAGTAGCAACATTTGGAAACTTAATTTTTATTTAAAATATTTACTTATATATTCTTTATGATTATTTTTATATGAACACAGATTTATCAAGAAAAGAATTATTTTCAAATGTTAAACTAGATTTTTTTGTATACATTAAAATTGATTAAAGATATTTACAAAATATAATCCTAACTATATGTGAAGCATTAGATTCACCCTAAATTCTATTAGAAAGCATGCATTTCTTAAGCAGCATGTCTAGTCCTATTAGTTATAATTAATTCAAGAGTCTGGGCCTATTTGTTAAGGAGAACAGGAATACTAGTTTTTGTATCATTTTCTTACAAGCCTGATTATTTGGAAGCAGGCCTTCTCAGAGTTTTGTACAGTTCTGCCTTTCCAAATAGTAATGTTTGTACCTTAGGAAGCTCCTACTCTGTTTGCAGTACATTTTCAGCAAGCCAATTAATCCTTAAGGTTGTACTTTGTGACTGAGCATCCATTCAGATGGCCTGCTACATGGCTGTTTCCTTTAAAATGAAGAAGCATCCTCTCCTTTAGAGGAGAGAGGTTCTTCTGTCAGAAAGCTTAAAAAGCTTACTAACTCTGAAAGTTGCAAGACCCCGCAGGCATCTCTACAAGGTTAAATAAGTGGTAACATTGCAGGGGACAGGAGGCTAGCTGGACTAGCAGCCTCCAAATGGGGCAGGGAGTTCTAAGGATGCCAGCTTCATGAGTCATCATGAATAGTACTTGGATGTTTCTGTAAGGGGCTCCCGTGAGTCACAGCCCACCTATGTTACTGTAAATAATGCCAATATAGTCAGTGGCTTAATAAATGCTTTGATGGACTTGTTTCTCTGCTCTGTCACCAGTGCCCTAGCTTGAGTGAGCAGATATATTTATTTATGTCACCCAATGGAAATATGACATAGCATGGCCTTTAGGATATTTCTGCTAGCATGAAATGCAGTACAAATAATAGGATCTTTCATCCAGGGAAGCCATGTAAAATACTCACAAGCAATAGTGCTAGGAATCTTCATACATATATACCCACATATCTGTATAGGTGTATATATGTACACATAACTTAGTCAATTAACATTCATGAGCTTGTAATACACACATATGTGACATATATGAATGATACACGGTACAAGAGACCATATAATCACATAATACGTAATGTTTGGTCACCTTTAACCTGTATAGTTGATAATATAAATTAAGCAATGATTCATGTTATCTAGATTAATGCCAGCCTCTATAAAATGAATTTACTACCTCAATACCGATGAAAGCAGAATGGCTGTTAATGGTATTTTAAAATAAAACATGTTTTCTAGACCAGTTCATGAATTATGGAGAAATTGAATCTGTCATGTTGAAAGTACTGAAGTACTCCTGCCTCTCAGTGAGTTGTCTCCAAGGTAATGTTCTGAGCTACTGTTACACTGTTTTGACTAACAAGGAACCTGTGTTGATGTATTATTGACACAATCCCACTATGGAAGTGGGAGTTTCGTCTCTCTGCCTTGCAGGCTTATGTTTGGACAGTACAGAATGCTCTGTTTACACCACTGCTGTATCCCAAGGCAGTTTCCCCTGCTCTTCTCCCTCCACAGCTTTTCTTACCTTCCCTCTAAATGAAAACCTGCAAAGTGACAGATTTAATCATCTACAGGTAAAACATCCAGTTTCCGTTTCCTTGTTTACAATCAAGCATGATGACTTACGTTTCAAATGTCAGCACTTGGGAGGTCAAGGGAGAAGAAGGTTCAGGATTTCCAGGTAACCCTTAGTAACGTAATTATTTCAAGGGCAGACTAGGATAAACAAGACCTTCTCTCTAAAAACCAGAAAATATTTTTTTTGCAGATATTGATATTTTCTCTTGCGTTTTCTTCTTAAACAGTATTTCAAAACATTTAGTATCAGCAGAATGTATAGTGATCACTTCTTTATTTCGTGTACTTAAAATGTTGTTCCTTGACCATTTTTTACTTGCACTTCATAATTAAATGTCTTTTTCCTCTGATTTCTTTTAGACTCAGCCTGTGGCCAGGTCAGAAATTCTTTCCTGAGCTATAGTCAGTAGAGGAGCTGGCTCATCAAAGACATCCTCCCTTTCAGTGATCTTGACATCCAGTTTTTCACTTCCAATCATTCTAAAATTTTTCATCTGGCTATTTACATTTTGTTTAAAATATATAAAACTGTTTAATATATTTCATATAAATATACTGATATAAGACATGTAATTTTATCCAAATATATTTATAAAAAATTATATAAATTTATTTATAGAAATAAATATATATAACATATAGATTTGTTTCTACTTGTTTTATATTTGGTTTATTTTTCAGGTAGAACTCTAGTCCCAGAAACTGAGATCAACAGGTGTGTTGCATAGGCATGTTGAATGCTTTGAATGGAAGGAAGTAAGATACTCCACAAACCCCAAATCTCTGGTTTCTACTTCTCTCTTTTTTCCATTACCACAGTCAATACAAACTAAGAATTCTTCCCAAAAGTCCACCAGAGGAAGCAGAGGCTCTGTCTACCAAAGCCTGCCATAAACCCTAGACATAGTACACTTACCTTATCTTTCCTTTTTCTCTGGGTAGCAGCAGGTAATGAGGAAATTGTCTGAGCTATCTTGCCAGATAGATTCACAAAAGTCTCTTTCTCAAAGCAGACCGTACTCAAGAGGAAATGCTACAGAGAAAAACCAGAAATAATCAGAGCAGGCAACTCTGTTTCCCTGAAGCCTGAGGCACGCCCTTTGTTCAATCTCAATTCCACATACTGTCCTGCTGCTTCAAACCTCAGCACAAAAGTGGACGATTCTCCCCAGGTTCTTTGTCTCTTGATTTATACCGACTCTTCTGTAACATGGATTTTGATTAAATATACATATTTTGCTTTTCTATTGTCAACCCCCCTTTGGCTGTAGAAGTGTCAGTGGTGACCCTTGTGATGAGGAGACATTACATATTTTCTACCCTTTTATGTTTTTTATCGTAAATTTTGGAATAACTACGTCATCTCTGAGTTTGATACTATGTATGCTCTGTTTTTAGTTTTGCAAGACAGGGTTTCTTTGTATAGCCCTGGAACTAGCTCTGTAGTTCAGGCTGTCCTTGAACTCAACTACCGGACTGCCTCCTAAATGCTGGGATTACAGGTGTGCAGCACCACTGCCTGGCAAAATTTTGTATTTTTAAGTGTAACAACTTTGCTCTGTTTTTTAAGTACTATTAGTCATAAAGCTGAAAATAATTGTTACTTTCAGTACACTAAAGAGGACTAATTTTATATCATTTACCTTCCTATATTCTACTAAAGTTACATAATGCACTGTGCTTCAGACATATTGGTCCTTAACCAGCTTCCTACATTTGTTTCCTTTAGAGGATACTTCACACAGTATGCTAAGGCACTCTGACCTATTACAAAGGAGATTTGAAAAATGACCACATTAAGGTGAAATAAGCCAAACAGGGCAGTCAGTGTATTTGCAATTCTGGAATAAGTTAGAATATGATTTTAAAGAGCTGACACCCTTACTTCAATATTAAATGCTGTAGCATTTCAGGGACAACAGATTGATCCTAGATGATTGTCAAAGGTGCTCCCATGCTTATTAAAGTTCACTGAGATATATCCATGCTGACATCACTGCCAAAGCCCTTCATTATCACAGGCCACCGCTTCTTCTTGTCTCTTAGTCTATCCCTACTCCTTCCAAACTGATTCTCAAAAGCTGCCAATCTTACCACAGCTCACTGAAAACCGCACCATGTTTCACCTTACACTATTCAAAGCTTAAATATGTAGAAGTGACTTGCTAAGAATAGTGAGATAGCTGAGATTGTTCTTAACTGTCTAATTTCATTCTCCCTTATCATTAACTGATATGGCGTATTTTTCATATTCTGCCTACCCCCATGATATTGTAGCACTATGTATTAGATTTCTTACCAATGTTTTATACATACACATACACACACACACACACAATCAGTGGAACAACTTAGCAGGAAAAACATATTTTGGCTCATGGTTTTAGAGGGCTTAGACTACTCGGCCCAGTGCACTTGGGCAGAACATCCTGCTAGCAGAGTATATGAGAGAAAAAAGCTGTTCACTTCATGGTATATGGGGAAGTAGAGTGAGAGGTGACGGACAGGGGACTATTATTGTGACCTAGGTCCTTCAGTTATGTCCCATTTCCTAATTGAGGTTTTATAACCTCCCCAAGCAGGGCCACCAGTATGGGACCAGGCATGGAAAGCATGAGGACTGATGGAATTAGGGTTTTCAGTCAATAACACAGTGACTTCTACTTCAGAGAGGATTAGTTATCTGTTTACCATGCAATAATTAGCCTTAAACATCGTGATGCAAAACTACTCGGCTTACTGTTTCTTACAAATCTGTAGATCTACTAAGAGCCCAATTAGTCTGTGTTATCTTGTGAGGATCTAAACGATTTCCCATGGACTCAGTCACACATCTCTGTTCTCTGCCAACACTATGGGCATATCTGTAACCCCTGTCCTTTCTCCTGAAGGTCTTTTATCCTTCATGGGATAAACTAGGCTTTTCCATATAGTGGCCAACAACTACACCAGC